ACTGATCAAAGTTTCTTCCCAGCAAATCATTTTTTTTATACTAAAAATAAATAAAAATTAGATGAAGCCAATTTTTGCGAATATGCTGTGTTATATTATCTTATAATGTGATTCAATCAATTTTGCTATTGCAATTGCTGTCGTTTGAACTGGTGCGTGTTAGACAGCTGTTCAAACAGCAGAGGCTTCCACATCGGATAAACAATTTCGATGTAAGTGTTTAAATATGACACCGGATAATATTGTTTATTTAAAAATTATCATATTTTATATAAAGTGTGAAGTCTTTTAAAGAAATATAAGCATTCATAATAACAAAAATATAAATTTAATATTTTTAGTTTGACATATACCTAAAACATGGAATATAAATGCAAGACGATTTACCGCAGGGTGTTTACTAAGTTTGCTACTCGGTTTTATTGTGTAAAAAATTTGTTTTATTTCATGTATAGAAAATGAAAGTGATAACATTTTCATTACACAATTACACAATAAATAAATTTTGTATTCAATAACAAACATTATTGCACGCCTTGTTTTCGTATGGCTTGCATTGTTCAACGTAATGAACATTTTAATTGATTTACGTTAACAATTACGAGAAGATGAACTTGAATGCTATTTTAAATTTAAACTCTATATTAATTTAAAATAATATACACACATATTATTTTAGAATATAGAAAAATGTAAATAAGTATTAATGAATTAACAAAAATTTATTGCAAAAAAACATTTGGTCGTTCGTGTGCAGTTGCTTGATAAATACTGAAGATTAGAGGTAATTTAAGCAATTATACCTACCTATAGGTTTAAAGTATACCATTATTTATAAAGTATTTATAGATGAAGTTTGTAGATTGTGTATACGTACTTGTACATACTTATACATTTAAGTTTCCGCATGTGCATATATTTTATTTGAAATTTTTTTAAATATCTTAAAAGCTTTTCAATTGGCTTCACTCTTCTTAAATGACAAAAATTACTACCGCATTGGTTTTACTTTTTATAGTATATATGCCGTGTAATACATAAACAAATGTTATTAGTTTAAAAATTTAAAGAAAAACTCTTTAATGACTTTAAAATGATTTTAATTGTTTTATTTTTTTTAAATATATAGAAATAAATATCAAAATTAACTTTATGTTATTATATTTGTTAGGGGATTTTGTATTCCAAATATATGTTAATTAATTCTATACAAATAAAAATATGTAATATTCCATATCGAACTATCCAGTTTGAAATATTTTACAACCTTAAATAAAAAATCAGTGATTTAAAGTAAAAAAATAACTTCCAATGCTACTCTTAACGATTATATTGAGTTTGACAATGAAATTTGCACATCAAGCTTTTCTATAGATGACGAGGATTATAGAGCATTTTAGCTCTGAATTAGTGGATCCTATTCTAAGCACAACGGAAAGTGATGATAAGGGTTTAGTGGTTGAAACCGTTCATCAGCCTTCCAAGAATGAACTTGCAAACGAAAGATACTACAACTGATGATCAAGGCTTGGAATAAATTGGTATCTCTTTTTACGGAAAATAGGAAAAAAAAATTAAAATCGCAAACCCTAATTACGAGTCTATAAAATCTGAATCTATAAAAAAATTCTCTAACTCGAAGTCTGCATAACTCGAACCTTTTCTTTGCAAAGTGGTACTTCGAGTTATGGAAGTTTGGTTGTATTTTCGTTCCCTGAAAGATGCTATAATACATATTAAACGCAATACCTTTAAGTATTACAGTATTCTCTTATTTGCTTTAATATTTGACAAATATATTATCAGTTTTTTACGAAGTCAACAATGATCGCCGAAAACTATCTTATTATTCATTACATGCGCCGTTTTTAAATGAGAGAATTAATTTTAATTGTTTATTTCGACAGTACATAACATTTTCAAGTTGAACCGTGCACATGTAATAACTCATTTTTTTATTTGTTAAATAGTGCTCATAACTGTTTGTATCTTTAACTGATTTTTGTGTTTTGCTTAGGTTTTGTTTATATTGTCTATTGTCAACTCTCCTTGTTGTTACGGCACGAGCCACTAACATAACAAATTATTTTTATTTTGAATATTTCTTACTTCTTTGCATAATGCCTTGTAGCACGCTAGCTACATATATATCAAAATTATTTCAGATATTTTCTACTAAAAAAATGTTTGCTATTTTTGAAAACCTTATTAATTGTTTATGGAAGGTAGTATTCATGCGATGTTCCCATATGCGTTCGTTCAATTTAAATAAATTAAATGTAAGTTTTGTACTTTATTACTTATACAGTTACCTCTAATTTATATCTAAAAAGTGTTATTTTTTTTTAAAAAAAATTTAGTTCATTTTTTATATATCTTAGAAACTCTATAACTCTCTATAACTACAAAAATTTCTAAACGGCGCCAAATGGTATTCGCCCGATTCTGATACCAGTATTTTATCATTGTTTTGTTTATGGTATTAAACTACTTTTTTCATTTCACAAGAAATATTTTTATAAAAAATTTATTTATAAAATACGTGATTAATAATAACCAGTTTAAGGCATCTTCACTAATTAGTCTTTGTATGATTTCATTTATTTCGTTTTCTTTATCTTTGCGTTTTTTGTTGTTTTTAATTCCGAATGAAATAATTAAAAAATATTTTAAAATTACTTGCACTCAAAAACAGAAACCTGTAAGCCACCAGAATCCAAATTAAGTTTAATTTAAACGAATTTTAAAATTATTGCCAAATAAATTTGTTTTTTAAATAAAAATTTAATTCGATATTTTGCACAGCTGAAATTTTTCTTCATTATAAACTTCAGATGAAATTTTTTATTACTGCCAAAAAAAAATTGGGCGATGATGAGTTCAAAAAGCCCATAATTATCAATTTTTATCTGTAAAATAAGTAGCATAGTCGTAAAAGAAAATACGTTCACTACCGTATTCCGCAATTTATACCTACTAAAACTTTTATATAAAATATTGACAAAATATATGTAAAAAAAAAATAAAACAAGAAAAAATTATACAAAAATTTTCCTGCTTTTCAAGAAAATAATTAATTAAGTTAAATCCAAATGAAGGAATAACAGCCTTAAGTTAACTTTTAAAGCTAGTATCTTAAAAACTGCTAAAATAAATAACATTTATTGAAAAAAAAAAATTTGTTCGAAAGAAATTGTCTGCTATAAATTTAATATATGAGTGTATTTAGCTAATACAAGAAAATACATATATAAACATAAATACATTACGACGACGTCACTTGAACCGCACAAACCAGCTGTTTGCAAAAATAGAAACACATGGCAAATGTTTAACTTATCTAGGGTTACTGTTATAACAAAACTAAAAAAAATTTTGAAGAAATCAAAGTATTGAGTTAACAAATTATTGCTATTGAATTTTGAATATCTGAGACTTATAATAGAAACAACTCCGAAGAAGATGAAATCTGTCGGCCGGATACACAGCTGGCAATCTCTTCAATCCTTTATTATGAAATCAAAGCTTGTCAGGAAATGTGGGTCAGAAATCATCGTGCAATCATCGAGCTGTTATCATCTTTACCCTTCTATGCATATCTCTCTGCAAGCTTAAGTTCTGAATGCTGAATACTTAAAAACAGCACAAGCCTCCACTTTCTTCACTACCTTATAATAGGAGGAAGTTACTCACAATAAGTGATCATAAGCAAAATTGTTATTGTGTTCAATGCAAATAATCAAGTTGAGAGTGGAGAAGAAAGAATATGTTGGTTCAAATTTGGTGATGAGAGTCCGAGGCTATCTGTGCCTCGTCACTTAGGCAAAACAGTGTTATTCGGTAATAAATGTCAACATTTGTGTCTACTTAAAGCAAATTATTACAAATTTCTGTGACAAAGAGACAATTTTGACGAAGTCTTGACACTTTACATAATATAGCCCTTACTGAAGTTCCTATAATAAGAGTAAACGCTGAAAACTTAATAATACGGACCGAAATTTCGCTACGAATTGCTCTCCTATTCAGTATAATCACCAGATTAACCCTTAGTGATTATTCACTATTTTTAAACCTAAAAAAAAATAATTAGAAATAAGAGATTTATCATCAGAGAGTATTCTATCAATGACTTAAAAATTTTGCATATTTAAATGAATCGCATTATTCAGATGACTTGAGAATGAATCATCAAATCGGATATATTGAACTCGAGATTGTGTTAGAGATATCATAATGAAATCAAAAAATTTGATTTAATTTTGTATTTCTAAAAACTTATTTACTTTTTTGCGTAATGAAGAATTTCTGTGATAAACAATGCATTTAGTAAAAAGTTTCAATATGTGATTGTTATTTGACTTAGTTATATGAATTATATATTTCGCTTAATAAATACGACACGGTCAATTATACATAATTGAATACATTAATATAAAATTATATTTTTCCACTAATACTTTTAGTAGATCCAAAAATAAACGACTTATTGAGTAATCAATTAAATATCAATAAATTAGTCTTTGGAACCCTAAAATAATTTGTATTGCTTACGTTACTGATGAGTTCATAAACACGTCCACTCCATCTCCAACAGGTAATCGCGATAGAGCAGTCAAACTAGCTAAAACCGGCAAAATTAGATAGAAAATAGACTCGCTGAAATACTCGTAGCCACAGCACAAAACAAAAGCTCAGATGAGCTGCCTAAACAAAAGCAAAACAACGTTCAAGCGAGAAAGTCGTTAATTGATTTGCGCAACGCGTTCGCTTTAAAGTTATTAAAAATCGAATTTAATTTATGTTTACCAAAAAAAAAAAATAAATAATTAAATGTGCTATAAAAATTATACTTGCAAATATTGTTAGGCTTCAAAAAATATAAAATCTAAAAAACAAAATATTTTGGAATTATATCTAAAAAGTGAATATATTAAGCTTAAAACATGTCATTCAGTGTTAAATAAATATAAAACAAAACATTAATTAAAATTAATTAATCAAAATAAAAATAATTGTATTGAAATACAAAAGTATTCCAAGGTTCTTGAACAATCAAAACAAATAATATGTTAGCTGCTTCACTTATTGGCAACTGGGAAAAGGTATTCCAAAGTACCCACCTAAACTTCGCAGTCTTTTCATTTCTGTTTATGGTTTGCGCCATTGAAGTGGTGCTATTAAAAATGACGACAACAAATTCTTCAATGTTTCAAAACAACGATGTGGATTATGATGATTCGAGTGAATATGAAGAGGATATTTATTATGAGGATTTACAAAATAATTACGATCAATGGGCACGTAGACGTATGCGTTACCGTCAACGACAACAACGTCAACAAAGCGAAATGATGCAACAATATAGACTACAACAACAACAGCAACAACAAAATGGATTATTTGCTTACGGTTTCTAGAATACTGAATCTAAAATCTATAAGACTAATAACTGTGCGATGCATTTAAGAGTATTAATTAAGATAAACATACATCATAGTTATGATTAACATAGTTGTGATTACAAAGTGTTATGCGAAAAATACAATATATTAATATTTTACTTATTTTAATATATTATTAATATATTTAACAAATATTAATATATTACCCAAAATTCTAAAACGCTAAAAATTTAACGATAGTTGAAGTAATCAACTTTGTAGAGCAGTTAAGGTGTCAGTTAACAATATTGGCTGTAAATAAATAGGACTTTTTTGACAAAATTTTTAAGTAATTTGATCACAATGACTACTTAACTGAGTTTTATAAATATACGCACTAAATTGTATATATTCTTTATTAAAGAAAACAAATCATCTTAATTGTTTAAACTTTATTTATTGAAAATAAAATCAACACAAAGTACTTAAACATCATTTTGCAGTTAAAAAAGTAATTATTTTAAAAGTTAAAGACTTAAAATTTAACATAAAATAAAGTTCTTAAATGAATAGGTCATAATCTTCCTTAAAATCTCTAAACTTGCGATTATTTTTCATTTCATTAATCTATTTACAATTATAAAGTAATTATATCAAAAATCAAAGGATTAGAAACTTATCATGAAATCTAATTCTAATAGAGTTCTAATAATTTATAAACGTAAAGAATATCATGTGTTTTAAAAAAAAACATATATTATAGTTACTTACAAAATACTATATGTTTTTGTTTTTTTCCTACATCAATAAACAAAAGTAGATTTTAAAAACAATCTAATTAAGTGTTTATATATAGTTTAAAATATAATTTCTAATATTATTTAAGAAAGCAAACATACCCAATTAATACTAAAATTTAAATCCTATTAAAGGACATACTATATATCAGTAAAAAAATATCATATATAATAGAATACGTATATATCAAAATATCTACTTAAAATATTTTCTTTTATGAACTTTTAAGTGCAAAAATTGGTGAATATGTATATTTGATTCTATAAAAATTCACAAATTTATAAAATTAAAATTAAAATCACCCTTATTGGTTTGATTTATATATAATATATTATAAATACACACATAATAATAATAAATTTATAGCAAGAAACTGCAAAATAAATAAATGATGATCAAAATTTTATAATAATATGTTTATTATATTATTTTAAATTATAATTATATATTTAAATTAAATAAAAATATAGATAATTGGGAATTAGATGAACACATGAGAACTACGAATTTTTATTTTAGTTACTTAAATTAAAGTTTTATAAATATTATATTTAAATTAGTATTGTATACATATACTATTAATAGTACTTTAATTTGTGTCTTTTCATATATAAAAAATTATAAAAAAAATTTGAAAATTATGTATAAAATATTACTTTAATTTTGAATGTTTCCATATATATGTATATGTATAAATTTATAAAAATATAAAAACATACAGCTATTAATATTTAATTTAAAACAACAAACACTATAAAATATAAATAATTGAAAATTATATGAAGATGTAATGAATATAAATAATTATTATAATTAATTACTTAGATCAAAATATACTAAGTAATATTTTCAAATTATTTTATGTATACTATTATTATTTCATCAATTTGGTAGTAATAATAATATTAATTACTTTTTTGAAATCATCTTCCTTTAAATTAGGTATCTCTAATATAAGAAACCAATTGTGATATTTTTTAAAAATAAAAGTATTTCTTTCCTTTTATAAATATTAATAAAGTAATGAAATAAACACACAAAAAAACATCTATTTATTTTTATTATTTCCTTGTTTGAATTGTGCAACTAAAAATTACATATAATTAAGTAAAAATCCATAATACAACAAAAACATGCCAACCTACTGCATTAAAATAATCCCGTTTAGCAACATTCGCCAACGTTTTCCTCATATTGTAAAAAATAAAAAGAAAAAGAAAAATTTGGAAAAATAATACACAAAAATGTTGCAAAACAAAAACAAATAATGTTGCTATGCACGAATTGTTAGTGTAAACTTTCGTAATACCATAAACTTCCTGAATAGCACTAATGATCATTACACAATAATAGAAAAGCCATATATATTATTATGCGAAGTAAAATTGATTTATATTGTTTAGGTGCAAATTAAATGGAATAAATGCATTCATAATATTTAATAATGAATTATTTCAAATAAATAAAATAAAATAGTTATTAAAAACTCTTAATAATAAATAATGTTATTTAAGTAATAACTAAAAGCCGCAATCGACTATCATCCCACATTCATCCCGCATAGAAGTTATTATATGTAACTGATTAACTTAATATTTTTAAATATTTAGTACAGAAGTATTCGAAAAGTAGTGAACTACAACACCAAAAATTCTATTTTATATTATTTTAATTAATTGAATTTTTGACTGACCATACAGCTGTTTCCAGTATTGCCAAATACCCATTATCAATGGTCTGGGAAATAATTCTTGTATTTAATTATTCGTAAATAATTTTTTGAGACTGCAAGTACCAGGAATCGAACTCGTGCCCTGCCAAACTTGAAGTTCAGAGTCAGCGCTCCTTAACCAATCAACTGAATATTCAATACTTAAATTTTCACATATTTATTGAAAATCATTTGGGATTAAAATTAAACATTCAAGATGTGATTGAATAGGAACAGTAAAACTAATGTATGAGATAGTGATTTAACATTTAAATTTATTCACTAAAAAAAAACTAAAATCCAATAGAAAAACTAATCCAATTATCTGCAACATAAACTTATCTATGATAAGGAATATCATTCTCATGTTATTATATATTTAATGAGATAATGAACATCATATAATCTAATGTGACGTTATATTCAAATTGCTTCTGATTGACTGTAGAAACAAAGAACTTCTAAACATTTGACTGAAACGGAAGTGAAGTGGAAATATAGTTCACAATGACGCATGCTTAAGGCATGATTCACAAAGGTTGCAAATTTACTCTCAAACTACGCAAATAAAAACAACGTATTTGCATTTATTTAGAATATATTCCCAAAATTGTTAGTAGAACTTATAAGTGATATTCTTTTAATATGTTAAATTTTCAAAATATTTACTTAAATAATTAACAGTCTAAATATCAAAAGATATGTCGTTACCAAATTTTTGACCATACTAAATATATGGCCATATATATATGTAATATTCTAATGTAGAGAAATCAAACTCATACATAAATGCTGTTTTTCTTTTTTACTGGTCTCTGTTTGGTTCCACTACTGAAATTCATCTAGTTCGGGCCTCACACATAAGTAAATTCAATAAAATTAATACTGAAAATAAAAACATTATGGACGGCGTTCGCAGCCTGTTGGTGTTTTTGGACTATGGCATCAAAAAATTAAGCAAATATATCTCTAACCTCAAAAAAATTTTGAAAGTTGTTCTAACGGTAATCAAATATTTTTAGTAAAATATTTTAACAATGTTTAACAAATATTTTAACAAGATTTTGTACCGATTGTACCGGACTAACTAACAATATTTAAAAGACAATGCTCGACACTTAGTATTATCTACAAAATAGGCTGTTACGAGATGCAAACCTCTGACTGATGTCAGATGTAAAAAATACCAAAATGCTGATGAATTCAAGAAATGTTTTCTTTGTAAGCGGTTAGAGATTCAACCGACTAAGAGCCATTGCTCGTAAAATAAATTTGAAAATCTAATTCTTTAAGCACATTTGTTTCTGTTGACTCAATAAAAATATATTTCAAATAAAAAAATATAGCTTTAAAAGCTATATAGCAGTAGTTTAGATTATTGCAGCTGATATATTATTTATATTAATATATTATTAATATATTATTTAATGTTTTTTACTCTTACTTGACGAGACTGACGCGTCATTATGACGAAAAGAAACTTTTTAAAAGTTAGACGGATTCGAATAGCAAAAAAAAGACAAACACAAAAATTTTTAGTTAATTAATTAACATTTAGCTGACCAAACAACACTGTTTCGAGTATTGTCAAGTACTCATCATCAGTGGTCTTAGCAAATATTTGAATTTCTTTTTAATTAAATTATAGTCCATAAATAATTTATTTGGACTGCAAGTGCCAGGCTAAAATTATTAGTTTTGTTTCTTTTTTAGTATAAGTGTAAGTATATACAAAGATTCGTTGAGAAGAAAATTTAGTATTTCTTTAATCTTTCTAATTTAAAACTCAATTAAAATAAAGTATTCCTCTTTTTAATTTAATTTCAATAATTAAAAAACTAAAAAACTATTTGTGCTTCTTTAGTTTCACACTTGGAACCTTTAGTGGCCAAAGTATTTAGCAACAAACGTTATACTTAAATAATCTTATATAATATAATATATATTGTAATAAAATATAATATATTTTATAATATATAAATAATATTATATAAAATATTATTAAGATATTAAGTAATATTAATTAAATAATATTTATAATTTATTAATATTTATATTATATTTATATATTTATATTAATATTATATATATCTATATTAATCTATATCTATATTAATATCTTGTTTTAATATTTTAGTGATCTTATTCAGCTTTATGTAAACGAACTCATTCTAAGCAATTTAATAATTATTGCAATTATATTATTTTATTATAATTCACCAAATAAATTAAAAAAATAAAAATCTTAAACCGTTACACGTTTGAATTATTTATGAATTTTTTTTTCTCGTTTTATTAACATATTATTTAAAAACAAACAAATGAAACGAGTTATAGACGTAGAAAAATATATTTCGTATATATTTAAAAGAAATCTCATTAATTCAAAGCGGTGTCGATTCTATATTCGAAAAATGACTATTGAATGACTATGCTTTATTCTGAAAATTTCACGATCAAATTTTAATAAATATTCAATAAAATTTTTATTTTTTCTTTTCAGTAAAATAGTTGATAAGAAAAATCAAAAATCTATAAAGCAAGATGAAGATGAAGTACAACAACAATTTTGCAATGTTTGCTGTACAGAAATACAAAGTGAAGATACAAAAAGGTAAAAACAAATATATACAATTATTTAATAATATTTAAAATTATTTTACTGCATTATTATCTCAAACAGTATTATTAAAAATTTGAACTATAGTCTTAGACTATAAATTATTTATTAGAAAAGTGCGAAGTATATTAAGTACTTATTATTATATTTATAATATACTTAATATACAAAATATTAAACTAACTTAAGTAAGAGTTAATATGAAATTAAATCTCATAAAAAAATAACATTTTTCCTATACGTATGTGCAGAGCATGTAAACTTGAAGACAAAGCTAGTTTTTTATTATAAATAATAGGAAACCAGATACTTATATTAAATAATTTCCAACGCTCTCTTCGTAAAAGTTCAGCATATTAATAACTTACTAATATTGAATTCACAAATCGCATAATTTCTAATAGAGAATTTAATTGCCTCTTACAGTTATGTTAAGTGTTGTACTTGTAATAAAAGTGTCTGCCGTGACATTAAATGTGCTGATTGGTTGCCAAAAAGTGCTGAGTGGGAATGTCAATTGTGCCATTCATCCAAAGAATCGATGGCACAAACTTCATCATGGGTAGCCGAACAAATGTCTTTCAATCAGCAAAAATATGTCTATCCAATGCGTGCCAGAAGTGAAATTTATATACCAATTACTGATTGCACTGAAGGTTCTATGCGTAAGTAGTAACTTTTTTTTAATAATTAAATTATTTAAATTCTTATTATTCTTATTTTTTAATAGAATTTGAAAGCGTTAGTCAAATTGGCGCTAATTGCAATACTATAAACGCCGAACAAAAAATTAAAATACGTGAATATGTTGAAGAATTAGTCGCAAGCATGTTAGGTGGCTCCTTGGATAAAATATCAGTAATGCAAATGTCAAAAAGTGAAAATTGTAAGTATTATTTATGTAATTTTTTTTAAATTATAATTAAACAAAAAATTATATATGAAATTTGTTATTTTACCACAAAAATATGTGTTAAATTTTATCTGAGGAAAAAATTTATATCTAAACAGTAATGAAGCAATAATGTTTATATACCTCAGCATATACAATATGTAAAGTTTTAATTTTAAAATATAAGCATACTTTTAGGCAATACTTATAAACAATCTTTATATATTACTGTATATTTAATAATTTTTTTATAATTTTCTTGCGCTAAACAACTCAAATAATTTAACAATTCAGATCTTCAACTTTTTGAGAAATATCACTCAATATTGAGTAATATTTTAAAAAATATGGAAAATTCGTTGTGCTTAAAAATGCTCAATGGAGGTGGTGAGTATCTTTCAAAATGGGTAGAAATTATATTTTTGTTTAGAAATTAAATGTTTTTAGAGCCTGTTCCATAAAAGACCCTAGGTTTTCTTATAAATGTTGCATGTTAAGTAATTAGAACAATAATTTGCAGTAAATTTGCATTTATTTAGTTCGTGTATGTAGTATATTAAATAATAGCACTTTAATGTTTATTTAAATAATCTTATTCTATAAACGTATAAAAAAATAATTGAATTTATTATTTTATTTAACTAATTTGAAGGATCAAGTAAATTATCACAAAAAAATTAAAAAAAATGCAACTTATTCTCTAATTCAAACAAATGTTCACCAGTGCGTATGAGTGTGACTAAAGTATGACTAATATGTGGTGCATATATATCAATTAATAACATTGGTAAGAATACTTTTGTGTTTACTATAATTTAATTATAATATTTGTATTTATTATAATTTATTTGATATGCAAAAACTTCTATTAAGATATCAATTTTCCTTGAAGAATGTTATAAAAAAAAATATATTGGATGGACAAAAAGTATTCGGCGTTTTTTTGTCGAAATTGAGAAAAATCTGTTTTTTATTTAAATAAAGTTTTCATTTTCATTTTTTAAAAACTAAAGTCCTTGTGACAGACATTTACACTAGCAAGAATATATTACTGCACGATTATCGATATTATCGAATCGAATATTACGATTGTTAATCTGACGGTGCAATTTCAAGTCTATATGATATGTGATAGATATGTGATATAACATATTGTAACTTAATCAATTCTAGACTGGTTTTCAGAATTGTTTGGTTCATCACATAAATTCTGGGTGACAGACATTTGATCACTTGTTTGAATAGCTAATAACAACGGATACTCTTGCAATTCATAATCAAACATTTAGCATTAGGACAAAAAACATTAATCGTATAAAAATTTCCAAATCAAAAGTGGGCAAGCAATGTTCTACTACTGAAATACGTTGAAGTATGGTTCACACAGTTTACACTATGCTTTATTCTATGTTAGTATATAGGATATGAGCCAAAACTCTATTCATTTTTACTTTGAAATAATCATAATATAAAATTAACCAAATAATTGCTAACCAAAAAATAATTGCTAAGTACAACTAACCATTATAACGACACTACAAATTAAAACAAATAGTTTTTGCTTAACCGACTAAACAAAATATTTCCTTATTATGAACAATAATGAACATATATTTAAAAATAAAAATTTTATATATATATATATATATATTATTAGTATAAATATTTTACACATATAATAATGACAAAGACTATTTGATGAGTTAATTAGATTAATTTACAAACAATGTAATACATGCATATATACAAGTTTGCACATATACATATGTTGTATGATCTATTATTATATACCAATCTTATCTGAAAATAAATTACACATATAATCGATAGGGGTCGAAATAATTTTATATTCTTCACTAGATAACAATATTTGCACTTATTAATATTGTTAACAAATTAGTTAAAGAGTATTTAACATAACTTATTTTTTATATTCTTATCATGGGTTTTAATATTTCTCCTTCATCATTATTACATTTTAAAAAATTTAACCACTGATTACTTTCATTTTCAGATTTTATGTTTTGATATAACATTACTTCCTTTTGAAAAACTGCAAGTTGTAGTATTAGTAATAAATTTTTGAAATGATGAAATAATATTATTCAAATATTTTTTAACAACACAGAAAATCGAAATACTTATCTATTATTAAAAAAATTTATAATACTTTCTAATTATCAATATTATCTTTTTTTTGGGAATGCGTTTTTAGTCAACATGTTAATAATGATTTGGCTTTTCCGTTATGAGAATATAATTTGTTATTTTATATATTAATATGTATATATAATGCCTTTATTCTAAATCTTTATTGGAGATACAGTTTTTTTTCATCATTTTTTAGCAAATGATATATAAACCAAATTATCTATTGCCCAATTGTCATCCATCCTCATTTTATTTTTGTCTTCGTATCAAGAATACATCAAAGGTCAACTGTCAGCTGCCTATACCAAAATAATATCGTCTTTAGGACCACGATTGCAAGCCAGCAGGGTATTCGGCAGGCATCCAACTGATGAATATTGTGCTAGGTTTCTTGGTATGACAAGCTTTGGACTGTTAAAATTATCCTAGTTCAGTTGATATCCAAATATAGCTATATGTTAAACAGTTAGTTGTAATATATTGGCATTCTCTAGTGACACACATTATTCCAACTTCAATTCTACGTATCATCACGTCTGAGCATTTAACAGATTACAGACTTGTCCCCATTGTGATGGAAAGATTTCACCATATCGCTTTAAACTAGGTTCAGCCACTTTCATTCCCAGTTTTTCATCCTGTCTAACCTCTTCATACAATCTGTTTTACCGCTTTTGTATAAGTCTTATTCAACCCTATATGTAGTTGATATTCAGGACCAAAATAAGACCACAATAATAGAGACATCAAAAAAATGTTTGAATTTGAATAATCTTATTCTTGTCCAACTATTTTCATAATTTACCATCACAGATCTTTAACATTATTATAATTCATGTATAACAAGAAGAATTTTATCTAAATACTCAGGAATTTTGTACTAGAAAACTCAATATTTAATCATTTCTGAATTTAAACAATTTTCCAGTTGATCAAAATAAATAAAAAAAAATGTGATATATAAAATATATATATATATATATATATAAAGTTTTCTATTTCAAAATTTTTACTAAGCATAGTGTCATAATTTTCTTAGTATCTGGGCTATTAACAAATATTGCCTGCTTTTTGATTTTCAAGATTTTACCTTAACTTTATAACTTTAATGTTGATAAGGTTTAAAATCGCTTGCTGTTTAATCATATCTAAAGACACATTCACTGATTACACGCAAATTTCAATAACACAAACGATTGAGTTTGCCGAACGGCAAAAGTATCTGAACGCAACTCACCACACTTTGTTAGCAAATATGAAAAAATGTTTCGTTTCAGTTGAGATACGCGCGCGGTCGCGTTAATACCAAAAAATAATAATTTATAAAATTTTTTATAGTTTAAGCAGAGTATAAAAAAAAAAATTATTTTGAAAATTTTTTTAAAATATTTGGCCAGCTTTAGTATGGTCGAATTAAAATAAAACACACAAAATATAGGTTTGAAATAGTTCAGTTATGTTAATAATTAAAATAAAAATGAACCGAAAATAAAATAAATTTTGCATTATCAATCTGCTAAAAGTATTGAGTACGATGTTTGCTTATGATAACAGTGGAAAAAAATTATTTTCATTATCTTAAAGTTAAAAAAAGTACACAGGTGCTTAAATGTGGGCTCTAAAGTAATTCTTATAGTTACAAAATAATAATAAAAATAATTTTTTTTTAAAAAATATGCAAAAAAAATATTTATTACGTTAACGCAATTAATGAATTTATTAAATTCAATAATAACTGTGATATTTAAAAAGCAAAATTGTTAAATGAAATATACGAGATATAAATTTATTGTAAAATAATTATATTAAAAAAGTGTTAAAATAATATACAATAAATTAAGAAAAATAAATCAAGTATTTCCAAATAAAAAATAATATAAAATATTAATTTCTTAATATTTATTAAGAAATAAATATAAAATGTGACCTCTTTTCGATTGTTCACTAAAATCTCAGTTAAAAATAAACTGAAAGTTCAATCGCACAAATCTTCTTATAAATTTTACAATATTATTTTATTGTGTTTATAGTGATTGTGTCTAACGAATTGTGAACATTTGTCAAAAATGCTAATTTCATACCATATATTTTTTAATAATAAATATTGTAATTATTGTTTTTTAGCTTATTTACTTTGTGTGTAAACAAACGAAATTTGCATTTGAGTTAAACAAATTTTACACCACATCGATGTGTTAGATAGTTCAACGCACATTAATTCAACGAGAATAACAACAATAAGCACACATTGTTGTTTATTGTTTGTATCTTATAACTTCAATTGTTGCCTTTATTTGCTGCTACTGCATTTGTCAATTCGAAATGTTAAAACGCGATGATATCAAAAATACATTGGCCTTGAATTTGAAAGTGCCGAAAATCATATTCTGTGAAATTTCATATCGGAATATATTTAGTATGCATAACATTTTACTAAAATACAAAATTTTCTAAATACAAATAAAAAATCACATCGAAAAAAACTCTGTAGGTTTAATTATTTCGAAATATCATTATTATTTAATATCGATTTATTAGGTCTTTATATGTGGAATGAATGGCCAACCTATTGTCATTACAGATAATCTAATTCTATTTCATTGAAACATATAAATTTGCACAAGTTAATAAGCCTATTTTTTTATCCCCAACATTTTTATTGCCTGGCGTAAATACTTTGGTCCCGTTTGAAGTTGTGATATAAAAATAAACCAAGGGTCGAAATAAATTGGTCACTTGGATTAACCAAACTTCAACTAATGACTTTTGTAAATGATGTGAAGGATTTCTTCTATGTAATAAATAATATTTATTGTTAACAGTGTTTCTCTTCTTCGTATCTCTTAAAAGTCTCTGCTATTTAAAATAAAGTGTTTTTTTTTCTATGATTGATTTTCATAAGGGAAATCAACAAAGGTCCAGCTTAGGGTGCAATAAAATGTGCACATTTTTATATTTCCATGATTTTTTCCTATAATATGCATATACGCTACACGAACTAAAGAACTATTATTGAAAAATAAGAATAGATAATGATATATAATAACAATAATGATGATAATGAATAGTCAAGAATTTAAGAAAACTGAAGGAAATCAATGAAATCAGTGAGTTACAAAATAATCTCCGCAAATAATAAAATAATAAGTACAGATATCTAATATCAATAATGATGATGATTAGATGTCAAAAGATTAAGAAAATTTAAAAAAAACACTAAAATCAGTGGGATCCAA